CTTGACTTGCGATCAGAGTCACAGAACGGATTAAGTTCGTAAGTAGAGGTACCACTGTATTATATATATATTTCATGCACCATTAGTACAGGTAGTCCTTGCTTACTGACCGTTCATTCAGAGACTGTTTGAAGTTACAACAGCGCTGACCAGTTCTTGAAGTTGCAGCCATGGCAGTGTTCCCGCAGTCACATGATCACCATTTGCGACCTTCACAGCCGGCTTCTGACAAGCAAAGTCAATGGGGAAGCCAACAGGAAGTCACAAGTTACAGTCACATGACATCACGCTTAACACCCCACAGTGATACACTTATTGACCGCAGCCAGAACTGCTGGAACTGCTGTTGTAAGTTGGGCGTGGTCACATGATTTTTCATTTTGCAACCACTTTGCTTAGCGATGGAGTTGCCGGTCCCAGTTGCAGTCAGTAAGTGAGGACTACCTGTACTAGTTATGGCCTTTACAATGCATCCGTAAGGGTTAAGAAAAAAATTGGCACAAATCTAGAGATCTAGTCAGATACTAGATTTGATACTTCTGCCATTCTTCTGAAGATGCATTGGATAAATTTACTCATAAAAAATAAATAATTATGAGAGACTTCCAGAGAAATCCAAATAGGTTTCATTTCATTTAATTCATCAATGGCTCTATTAAAAATAACTATAATCCCAAATGCTGCCAAATGGTCAGTTGCAAAACAGACATCTGCTTAATCTTTTTTTAATTAGAAGCCTACCAAAATGAAACAGTAAGTCTGTGTTTGTACACAAGAAGAATGAAAGCAACAAAAAGAGCTATCATGCTGTAAAAAAATCATAAAACAGTCACTTGTGTCTGTGTTTTGTAAACATTGAAGGTGAAATTATCAAAGAGACCATTCTCCACTGAAGCTTTTTTGGAAGACTTTGGATTCAAGTAAATTAGTTACATGGGATTTTCAGTGCAGGAAAATAACTTCAGGAGTTCCAAGGTGGTCTCTTGTATTCCTCTCTCAGAAACAGGGTCTTGTTACTGTTCTCCAAAGCCAGGTTGTTTTAAAGCTTTCTGCCATTCAAAGAAGCAACAACAAATTCAATGAAATTCTCATGCATAGAATGTTGGGTTCTGATAGTAATTTAATTAGAAGGTGGCCAAGGACTGTTTGTATGCATCCTGCCTTTCTGTGCACAATCAATTCCCCAGCACTCTGCAGCTTCTCTCCTTTCCCAAGGGAAGACATCCTGAGAGAATGTCTCTCATTGCATTTTTTTTTGCTAGCAGTGCTACCATCACTACTAAGGGAAAGTCCAGAAACCCTAACCCAATTTCTCTGCCCAGAAATTTGATAGTCTCCAAAGGACATTAATGCCTAGTTCTAACTCCTACAATAGTTCCCCATAATTTCAGGTGAAGTGGAATGTGGCTTTCCATCCCTTCAGCCCAAGGTTATGCCCTCAACTCCTTCCTTTTCCATGTTTGTTAGCAGCTCCCAAACCAGATCCCCTCTCTGTTTCCCCTGTCTTCTTTCAGAGCAGTCATCTCCCTTGTTAAAGCTTTGAGGGTGTGCTTTGATTTGGTGAAGTTCGGACTGAATCACCCCATCGAAACAGATTCATGCATCCAAACAGGAAACCACTGTGAAGAACACATTGAAAGAAACGACTGTGAAGCCCTTCATAGCTTTACAAAGTGCTTCATAGATCTGACAGTGGTTTTTTTGTTTGTTTGTTTTTTGCTGCTGCTTCTGGAATTGTTGTAGGCAATATGTAAAATAGCAACTTCATTTCCATATGTGGAGAATTTTGGTGAGGTGAGTTGGAGTGATGGCCTTTCTTATATACAATCGTAAGGGCTTTTTTCCACTCCCCCAGTAATGTGCTTTCCTCTTGTTCTTGAGAATGAACAAAAGCATACGGCTTCAAAACCACCATCCACACACTGTTCTTCTTCCTGTGCCTCCAAAATGAGACTAGCAAAGTTGC